ATTGCGAGGTTAGTAAGCTGTGTATCTAATTATGAAGGGGTATACCAACCATGAGATCTGGAACCGCACGTCTGAAGGAACCTCGTCAAAGTTCTTTCGCAATGCGATCATCTGTCGCAAACCTGCCAGATGGATTTTGAGATAATCGGGATTCCCCGACGCGATCTACAGGGTTGCATTAGCTTCGGGAATTGCAAGCCTGGTTTCGCAAAATACACTCACTTCAATTGTCAATAAGGTAGAAACAGCAGCAATCAGAACATCACTCGAAGCCTTGACCGGATCTGACAAGCCCTCGTTGACCAGTCGAATAGTCTCACCACGGTGGTGGAAAGTGTCGATCACCAACTGGCTCCGCTTTTGTTTGGGATCTCGGATGGGTAGCTCGCCTGCACGCATCGCATCATTGGAAGAAGCCATACAAATTGTTGCATGCAGAATGGCCGGGTCGCGCTGGATCAAAGACGCCCAATGCGCCTGCAGCTTGGGCTTATACCGCGTCTGCAATGGATGCGCTTCTTGTGTCAGATCCCAGAGGACTATATCTTCGTTAGTATGCAACCCCTACTATATCACGATCGGGGTTAAAGAGAGAAACACTCACAGACTCGCAGGTGTCGCATCATTCTATCTGTAAGCTGCGTGTGCCCAGTATTAAAGGGATCATTAGCTCCTTGTCCCACGTAAGACCATGCAGATGGTCCAGCGGGGTAGGCCATCGTCCCACCAAAACTAGAGTCATCCCAGGATGCGGCTTGCATAGTAGGGTATCCCACAGCTGTTGATGTAACAAGCTCGTCAACCTGTTCTAGCTCTTGTTCCTCCGAGATTTGACTGCCGGATAAGCTGGCGGACGAGCTAATAGATGGACGGGTCGGCTGAGCGGGTACGAGTGCCCCGGGGTTCGTCGTCGGGGGCTGATAAGACGAGTGCTTCCATTTGCTCTTATTGTACTGCTCTGTACTCTCCATTCGCTTCTTGCGATTATGCTCGGACATAACATGGGACCGAATCCGCTTTAGGGTCTCATCCGTTGTGCCTGCCGCTGCCGTTTGCTGATCACTGTTGACCCAGAATAACGTCGATTTCCCCGTAGATGCATTATTGGGCTTGCGGGGTTTGCGTACCCTAGTGGTTGTTTTCCGATTGGGAGCTGTGGGAGGAAGAGGTGGTGGTGGAGGAGGAGGTGGAGGAGCTGTTGGTGCTTCGGTCACGGTCTGTACAGAGTTGGGATCGAAGTGGACGGGAGCTGCATAGGGGGAGTGGATCGGATCGGCCGTCCAAGCCGCAGCCGATGGCCGAGACAGAACGGGCAAGGTCTGCTCGTAACCCGGTAAGAGGTCCTTGGCATTCATCTTATCTGGACGTTCGAGGCATTACCTAGAAGAAGGGAGGGATTTAGAAGAGGACAAACTTCCTTTCCGGACCGGCGGGGTAGAAATCACAGGAAATTTGGATTCTTCACATTGCAGAATCATCGGCCCCGCTAAGAGCTCTAGTGGAATTCGTCAGGTTTATTTTAAGATGTTTTAAGGGGAAGCATTTAAGTCATTTAGCGGAATTAATGATTGCTTTTGTTCTCGATATCACAATAATCTCCCCACCCCCCTATTTTTTTCAACAGCCCCAGCCTTGGAAGTTCCCAATATCCACTTGACCTTGAAGACACGGGATTATTCACCAAGCTTGTTCTTTCTGAGGTCATGTGGTGTTTTCCTTTTTTTAAAAAAAGGTGTGATAACACATGTCTACAGGAGGACCTCGACATCGTGATCTACTATGATCGTCTCAACTAGTATTCATGAAACATCCCAGATATAAATATAAGGAGTACGGGGATAACCCCATGTATAGATGATCTGCACTCTGGCCCCCTGTGAGGTCATGACAAAATATTTCCAACGGCTACAAAGCCGTAGACGTTGAGTCAAGGTTTTCTCCTGCCAGCACCAATCTTGGCTCTGTTATAGTGGGCGTCGTATAAGCCCGAGGCTGTGCAACTAAAAGTTTCAAACTATGTGGATGATCATATTCTTGACCTTCTTGTTACAAATTTGTTTCTTGCGTACAAGTATCTGGTCTGAAGGGCTTTCCAAGATAATTGCGTACATGATTTGAGATCTACAATATACAACATACGATATTGGCAATGGCAAAGAGCTAGTTTCACACGGAAACACCCATGGTCTACTCAATGTGGAGGCGATGTGGGGAGCAAGTGAGGTAGAACGAATGAGATAATTGCGGGGAAGATAATCTAATAACGGACGTCGGTTTCATTCCGAGGCCGTGTAATGGTGTTGAGCCCATAAATTTAGGTCATGCCAGGACGCGGGAAGACCGGCATCGTGTCCAGCTGTTCTAACCCACCCATTGTACCAGTCTGCCCGCTGTTTTGCCAACCTTGTCCGGTCTGCTGATTGATAAATTGGCTCTGTCGGAAAGGATTGGTGCTGCCAGTTGGGTTAGGCCGCAAAGGTGCAGCTGCGGGAGGTTGCAGACCTTGCTGCGGAGCAGGAGAGGCCCGCGCAAAAGGGTTGGTCCCCGTTCGCTGAGGCTGGATCGGCTGCGCTTGCGGTGGCTGAGGAAGGGGCGGCGGGGGTTGTGCAGGTTGAAATTGCTCATTTGAGGGATTATATTGCGTGTTTGCTGTGGATAGTCGTCTCGCGAATGGGTTCGTGTTCTGTCGCGATAGAGGAGCGGCGGGTGGCTGAGCGCCCGTGGGAGTGTTGAGCATCATTGACTGGCGGAATGGATTGGTGTGCTGGGGCTGCAGGGGTTGCAAGGGTTGAGGTGCTTGCTGCTGTTGTTGTTGCTGAGAGAAGCCAGCAGTTCCTTCCTGCGGAATAGGAGCCAATTGCGATTGGAAGCCATACGACTGCGGCTGGGGAGAGTACCCTCCAAATCCAGCGCCAGTTGGCATAGCTTGAAGTGGCTGTGGTGGTGGCGGCTGCTGCTGTTGTTGCTGCGGCTGCGGCTGCCCGAATGGATTGTTTGGGCCCTGTGCTTGATAAGGCGCTCCATATTGGGTCGGCTGGGCGTATCCAGTTGCCAAAGGCTGCTGTTGAATCGCCTGGGGTTGCTGCTGGAAACCAGTCTGCTGGGGATAAAATGGTTGCTGTGACTGCTGTTGGAACCCTGTTTGCTGGTACTGCACTGGGTTCTGTTGCCCCATCGGCTGTTGGTTCTGCTCAATTGAATCAAAAAAGTCGATCAGGTCCACAGGTGGTGGCTTCGGTTGTTCGACCTGCTTGGGTTGGTTTGATGCCGGCGGGTTCGACATCGGTGTGTTCGGCATTGGCTTTGATGAGTCTGCAGTCGCACTAGCTTCCATGCTCGGTGGAACGCGTACACCTTTTTTGGCCAAGTACTCCCGTCGGCGAAGATCGAAATCAGGATCATTGAGATCATCCTCAAGAAGGCGCGCCAGATCTGTAGAGGCATGCTTGAGCTTCGGGATTTCCAAGCGAGTAGCAGATTGGAAATGTCTAGCCACTCCCAAGAATTGGACCACTTCTTCCGTTTGTTTCGTGAACGTCTTATAGATTGCCAGGGCACGTATGCTATCCGGCCGCGACATCTCAAAGTAGTGTTCTATTAGGGTTCAAGGTTAGACCAACGCTGACCAATGGAGGGGCTGCTGACTTACCTAAAACATTGATCGTGCCCTCATTCATGACTGAATATAATGTCAATAGATCAAGGGTGAGAAGACGGAACGCGGTCAGACTGATCTCATTCTCGGGTTCATCAGTCAATAGCTATGCACTGTCAGTCACCAGAAAGAAGGCCCAAATTCGGAATCCACCTACATCACAGCGCAGTAACACACGAATTTGCTTCTGTACAATTTCCGTCTCCCTCAATAGCCCTTTCTCCACACCTATCCTCTTCAGCCGTCCGGGTCCGCTTCGTACATGATCCGTTTTGCAGGCCTCAAATGCCTTGGCACGCGCGATTAGGTATTCGGCATACCGTCGGATATTATGTCCCTGCGATTGGGCTGTAAAAACGATCAGTAAGATGCGCTCATATCTCTATGAGGGAACTCTTGGTCTAACCTTCAGAGAAATTGCTGGGCGCGATCTTCTTTGGGTTATCGGATAAGTATCCCAGCGCAGCATCCAGTTGACCCTCTCGAATCATGAGATGGAGGACTATGAGCGCCTTGAAAACAATGGTCCATGCCGAGTCTCGGAGTCGTATTTGAAGGGTTCGGAATACCTCTGCGACTCCTGCCTCGCCGGTATGAGTCGCCACAAGGATGTTCTCTATGTATTTGGATTTAGGGGCTGCAAGCTGTTGACGCCAAATAATTAATAATTGTCGCATATAGAAAATAATAAGCTCAACATTCAAACTAACCTTGAGCTTCGTGGCCCCTTTTACTGACTTCTCAAATCCTCCGGGCATGTTGTCTGTGAAAGTCGCGAATCGGTGCCCAACTTCTCTAATGGCTCAGGAGAATGCAAGTCTGTCAGAAGACAGTGGGAAAAGACTGGAGAACCTGCTCCAAGAATCAATGCCCTTGTAGTGTCCGAGAAAATCTTCAATCATGCGTATCGTTCATGACGTGGCTCATTGAGCCATGCTGTAAGCCTGGGGAAAGTGGGTGGTTTTCTAGGGGCGAGGGGCCAAAGTCCGATCGGAACGGCCGGATTAGGGATTGGCGAGAAGTAAAAATCACAGAGGTGATATGGACTGAAAAGTAAATTGAAAGTAAATTGAGGAATAAGGATAGGAAATAGGATAATGTCGAGGGTGAGGGCAAAGGGAGTTGGGGCGGAGTGCATGTTCCTAGAGGTAACCCAAATCGGGACTAGCGCGGGTTGAGAGTTCCGTGTATGCACGGGAGTATATATGAGTGAGCTCTTTTTCGTCTGTTTCATGCTTCTCCGCCTTGATCACGTGTCACATTTGTACTTGACCTCGCGACTTCATAGTTACTTGCACTTTCCATGTTCAACAAAGCACCCCCCTCCTTTTCTTTTACATACATCATGCCTTTACCACTCTATTTCACTCCAGCTAATAGCGGGATTTCTGAACAGTCATGCGACAGTGAAGAATACGTCCGTGACAAAAAAATATCTCTTGACAAAATTAACTCTGCTGACGAGGCATTGGCAAAAATCCACGACAGTGGATTTTTCAACCAGTCTGTCTACTCGTTTGTTGTCCTTACCTCGGTGGATCATGCCATTGCAATTGATCTTTTAGAACTCATTGACGCAGAGTACCCCCGTGTTCGGAAAGGATTGTTCTCCCGGAGGAAAGTTATAACATTGAAAATGCTAACTTATACCCACGGAGCCCCGCATGCGTGGTTTGGTCAACAGCTGACCCGTTGGCAACTTAACGGTCAACTCACTCCTGCTGAACACCTCAACGTTATGGTAACAGCAAGCCCGCGAGTTACTGCTAGCAACCCTCCATACACCGGCGATCAAAAGGAACCCGATACTTTCATCTCCTACCTCGGAAGTCCCACCTTACATGAGCCAAGGATCGTCATTGAGGTTGGCTTCAGTCAGACATATGTAAGCCTCGTTAATGATGCGAAATTTTGGTTAGAAGGAGTGGGGGCGAACGTGCGCAAGGTTCTTCTTGTGAAATTTTTCCAGCGTAGACATGGTGTTGCGGGAACAACCGAATTTTCCCGGTTCATGGGCCGTTAGAACAGCCCATTTATCTCACCAAAGACGACCTTCTTAACGGCGCAATTGCCTCAAGCTCCCAGGGCAGTGATCAACTTGAATTTGACATTGATTCCCTCCGAGAGATCATAACGAAAATGGGTCTCAATCTCGTTGGACTCACTCCTTTGCCATGAGATCTTGCCTCCCCAGCTAATTTCGTGCAATGTGAGCGTTTTTTTCCCATGTACTTCAACATGCAATTCAATTAGTGGTTTACTCCCAAAATGTTCGAGGGACGAGCTGGAGATTTCTCTCTTCCCTTCCAAGTCTATGCTCCAAGATTATCTGAATTTCTTTCTCGTTTGTTGCAACCTTCTCTTACGCTGCTTCCCTCTCCTCTCTTCTTCCCATCCTTGTAACATTCCCCCACTTCTTGTCAAGTCCTCGGTCATCTTGAACAAGCCACCATCCTTCACACACGTTCCCTCACACAGTTTTGAGAGTCCTCTGAGACATTGCCCCTGCCCTCATCTCACATTAAAATGGAGAGCAAAAGACTGAAGCTAAGATGGGACGTTCCAATGCGCCAAGCTCTTTGTTGTCTGTACCGGTTTTTCCGATGCAACAGGAAACAGAAAGAGGAGATCTTCTCGATGTTCCGCGACAATCTGAGAAAACGTGGAATTCATCGATTTGTTCCAGGTAAAACGCTTCACGCACAGTGGAACTGGATGAGAAACACTGGCGATCCTATCTGGTCGCATGTCCATCGGAGCACCGAGTTCAACATGGACGGAGAATGGAGGGACATCATCCAACGCATCAAGTCCACAGCATTGACCCTGCATCTCCCTCTTATCGAGAAGCCAGAGGATGATATCGACACCTCTCAATGGGGCACGCGAGTGCCACCGACCTTGGGACTGAGAACCGATTCCCCCCCCGCAGACCCCCCACCCCATATCATTTCCACTGCACCAGCGAAGAGCGGAGGAAAGGAGCCATTATTTTGCCGAAAGTGACGACCAAACAAGTGCGAGTATCACAATGAGTGTCAGCCAGAGTAAGGAATGGGCCAACGAGCCAAAACATATCAACCCCCTGGAAAACAATCAGGCTGTTGTTACCAGTCATGGCAAGACGTGTATCTGGTGCGAGCATGGATTGGCAATTGATGAGACAGACGGCCCCGATGACTGGACCCAGCATACTCATATTAACCAGCGCGAAATCCCCGACAAAAACCAGTCCCAGCATCGGCACCAAGATTGGGGCCAACAGGATTATCTCCAAACCCAACAGCTTCAAGATCAACATCAAAATCAACATCAACACCCAGATCAACAACAAGAACACCAAGGCTGCAGCCACCAGCATAATGGGCAGCAAGACTATCACCACGACCATGAGCTGGCTATGAAAGGAGTTCCCGCCGACAAAATGCCACCGTTGCTGTTTCGGTGGTCAAACCGTGACTCGCAAGGTGTCAACTCGAAGACCGTTTTTCTAGCCGGGCTTTTCTGCAACGGTGAATGGTTTGACCCTGAAGACTTCTCCGAGGACCGTTTCGAGAGCTTCTTTCAAAGCCATGTCACCAAGGAAAAAACCAAAACGCCATTCATTTCCACCTCTCATTCTCCTTTGGCACCACTTCACCGTGCCATTGCTAATCAAAACGGTGCCACACTGTCCGTCATTGACACCTCGAAGCTAGAAACAAAAGTATTCTACGCCCATCCGCTTGCGATTCGGACTAGGACTTTCACCTACAACTGGAAAGGGTATGGAGAGTACCTCATCTGGGGCCGTATCCCACTTGAGGCAATTGCTTTCAGCGTGGAAATCACAAGTTTCGAACAAACCGTACAGTCCTACCCCGATGTCGCTCGCTTGATGCAAACCGCTCTTATCCGTAGCTTTCTACGCTGCAGTGAGGAGTTGCGAGACATGCTGGCGGCAAAAAGAAAATCGTCTTTTCAGTCCGGTCGAACACTTGGAAAGTTATTGACTCTTCTTGAAGTTCCCACGATCCACTGGGACAACATAGCTTTCAGATTTGCCAAAGCATGGGGCTGGAAAAATGCGAAAGAGACCGCCCTGTTTCACAGTGGTCTTCGAAGTGCACCACCTTACCTGTCCGAGGAATTGTCAGATTCTGAAAGTGAGGCTCCATGGCCCACACCCCAAAAGACACCTGCGAAAACTTCCCAAAATATGCCACTTTCATCTGACTGCGTTTCTGATGTAGACTACGAACCGCGCGAGACCGACCAAGATTCGGGAGGGACCTCAGAGTTGGAATACATGGACGAGTCTCGATCTGTGACGATTTGCGATATGAGCGAGACATCAGATGATGGAAAGTTCTCAACACACGAGACGCTGTCTAGTGGGATATTCACTGAGAACGATGCTTCCGAACTCTCCTTGGGACCGGTACCTCATCAAGAGGCAATTGACCTCGACTCGGACAATGTGGATACTAGTTCTCAGCGGGCATTGCAACTGGACTGGCCATCTGACAATGAATATATGTACCCTGACACGCCCACGAAAACCAGGGGAAGGATCCCATTGCAATCGCGACAAAGGACCACCAACAATCTTGTCCTAAATGGTCATACCGATATGGACTTTTTTGAGAAAGTCCGAAACTGGGCTCATCACGAAAACTGACAGAATGATATGCGAAATGTCGCGAAGAGAGAATTCATGCTTGACATGGAAGGGATGGAAGAGAACATTGAACAAGCTTTGTTTTGCACAGCCATGTGAAGATGAGAAAGTTCTAGTCAATATGTCAATATGCCTTTGTGATATTAGTTGAATGAAAACTTTGTGACAACGCTGTTTGCTCGAACATATGTGATGCCTGTAAGAATTATCTACAATACCTGTAGGTATGTACCAAGTATGTGCATTCACGAATAAAGTAAATGAAGTGGGCATATCCAGATTTTACCTTCCTGGCAAGGAGGTATGATGCAGCTTGACCAGTAAGATGGCCAATAAATGCCCAAAACGAGACTAAAACCACGCCTACAGCCATTCGGACAGCCCCTGCCCTGAGTACGTGGTTTGCCATTTCCATATAAAACATATACGAAGTTCCTACTGTATCAATGTTAGACTTAGAAGAGCGAGAAGATAACTCGAGATGCACATTGAGAGGCTCCGTCCAGATTGCCATGCATGGTCAATCTTGTTTTGTACCAGAGTTGTTGTACAGTTTCCATCACAGGAGGGCCGAACAAATCATTTTGATTTTTGCGTGGATACACATTCATCAGCGAGGTATCTGGGACATGGAAACTCATAAACTATCCCGACCCTCATCCAAGAACTTCCCGTATATCCAGTCCATACCGCTTCCTTCGCCTTCAAAAACACCCGGTTTATTAACCTAGAACTTGGAGAAAGACTTGACAGCGCGGGAGGTCTTGGCGTGAACCTTCAACACGTTGAAGCGAACCTATAGAAATTTGGGTTAGTTATCAATTTCATCGCAAAACAAAATAGGGAGTCAAAATTCCATGTGTTGTAGTAATGCAATAGAGCGTGGTTTTGCAGACTGCCAACAGTGGCGAAAATTGACAAAATCACTCGATGAACGTACAGTCTTGCTGAGAGGACGGCACTGGCCGACGGTAACAAGGTCACCCTCCTCAACACGGAAAGCGGGGGAGACGTGGGCAGACAGGTTCTTGTGGCGGCGCTCGTAACGGTTGTACTTGGGGACGTAGTGCAGGTATTCGCGGCGGATGACGAGGGTACGGTGCATCTTGGTGGAGACTGTACATAATTCGTTAGGAAATCCTCTTGCCTTGTAAAAATATAGTCCTGATTCAACTTACCGACTTTGCCGACGAGGACACGGCCACGGATGGACACCTGGGAGGTGAAGGGGCACTTCTTGTCTGTAAAAGTTCGAAAATGAGCAATCTGACACATGAAGAATTTGGTGATCGCGGGCAATTTTCTGGCATGGGTGGTCTTCTCGAGGTTCGAGAGTTGGAGTATCGAATGCGAGTATTGGCGAGAGAGGGAAATGACAGAGATTCCAGGCCCCTCAATTGCTCCATGCGATCCTCCATTCGCCCTTTGTATCCTTGAAAAGACCACCCACCCATATATTCCGCCGCCAGATTTCGAATAAAAACTCAACGGAGGTCGTGCATACCGATGTAGGTTCCCTCAATGGCGGTCTTGGGGGTACGGAAACCGAGACCGACATCCTTGTACCAGCGGCGGCCCTGGGCAGTCTTCTTGGAGGAAGCCTTAGCCTTGGTGTTAAGGAAGATGTGAGGCTGCTTCTGGAAAGCGCGCTCCGACTGGACGGTCAACTCGGTGGCCATTTTTGCGGTGTTGTTCGACGAGGAAGCGGTGTCGAAGAAAGGTCGGGTTGGCGGCTGTCGAAGATGAGGAAGATTCGTTGCCCGTCGGAATCTTTGGTAATTCGTAGTGTGCGACACTAGTCCCGATTTGGACTAGGCTAATTGGGGTTAGGGCTCTGCGTTCTTGTTTACATCACGTGATTGCGGAGGCAACGCGCTTTGGGCAGTTGCGATAGGAGCAGATTACAGGCTCAGTCCTGTTTGATCTAGAGATCTTAACGTTCGGATTTATGGAATATGCAATCTTGAATTGATCTGTGAATGCGCCCATTTGACTGCCGAAAATGTCAACTCGACCCGATTCCGCGGCTTTGCGACAGCCACGATCTCGTCGGTCTATCGCTCATGTCCCGCGGTCTCGGATGACGTCTGGTTTGGACAAGGAGAATGCGACAACGGAGATTGGCACAGCCCAGCCATTTTCAAATAACACAAAGTCTGCTATGAAGGATAAGAAGTCTCGGAGTAAGAGTTTGGGTCCCGGTGGGCTTGATGCCCTTCAGAATTCTAACGGCAATCGCCGCCAGGTAGCTACCAACCGAACACCACACACGCATATGCAGAACAATTCTGACTCAAACATCCATAGTCTACGGCTTCTTTCCCACTAAAGTCCATCCTCAAACCTACTGTCCCTGTCTCTCCAGTGCGAAACATTCCGTCATTCGAGGAAACGCGCCGACGTACACCAGCTCGTAGCAAACAGCAGACCCATGACGGCACGATGGACGGACAGAGCCAAAAGGATCAAGGAAGAGAGGGTCTCTTGATTGACTTTGAAGCAACACCAGGACCTCCAACAACGGATAATGACAATGACGACACGGCGAACCCATTTGATACATTTAATGCGACTTCCGCCATTCGCGAGGAGATGGCTGCTACTAAGGAGCGTGATGAGCAGGAGCGCAAAGATCGTGAACGACAGAATATCCTAGAGAAACGAGCGGCGCGGAGGAAATCGATGGGTTCGTGTGTTCATTCAAAATTGCCATGGGAGTGAATATTGACACATCTATACAGCAAACCGTCGAGTATCCTTTGCCCCTGAGGCAACCCTACACACCTGGAACGTGGTGGAAATTCCGGACGACTCAACCTCCTCCTCTGCCGCGAACTCAACAAGACGCGCATCTGCTGCCGCAAACTCCCAGAACCAACCCGCCCCTATCTCACCCACAAAAGATGCACCATCTTCGCCAGCAGAGTCGGAATTCGGATTCTCCCCTGTCCGCACACAAGATCTGGATCAGATAAGAGATCGCCCATCATCTGGGGGTGGCGACCAAGATTTATCTTCTAGCCCGTTCAGTGGAAGCTCGGTAGGGAGCGAAGACACCGGCGCCCAAAGCCTGGCCGGAGAAGAGGATGATGGCGATTCTTCAGAATCCGACGATGGATTTGATGCTGAGAGCACTGCAATGAGCATGGATGATATGACCGCGCGCTCAGGGATGAGTGTCCAATCAGACGCAACTTCTAGCTCAAGCTCGAGTGCCAGACTCAACGAAGCACTGCGCCAGGCTGCACAGGAAGCAGGAACCGAACTTGACGAGGACGGAGAGATGTCAATGGAAATTGCGGACCAAGAAATAACCGGTGCTTTCCAGCCGTGGATCAAAAAGGGCCAAAGACAAAGCTTCGATTGGGGGGATATTAGCGCACGGCATGACGATGAGAACGTTGACCCATCCAAGGATGCCACTGCTCAAGGTTTGCCAGAATCAGATGATATCGATGAGGACGAAGATCTCAGCATGGATGTGACGAATGCCGTAGGACGCATCCTTGGCAAGTCTCCCGGCCGTCGCCAGAGCACGGCTCGTCGCCAATCTGTGGCAGAAGAATCCAACTACGGAGATCAAACCATGGAGATGACCAATGTCGTCGGCGGTATCGCGCAGGAGGATTCGCCATCAAAGTTTTCCGATATTGGTGACGAAGATGAAGGAATGACAATGGAATTCACTTCGGCCGTTGGTAAAATCTTGGGCAACCAACGTATTCAGGCCACCAACTCTGATCAGATGAACTTCGATCAAGACAATGAGTCTGACGGTGGCATGGACATGGAGATGACTGGTGCAATTGGTGGTATCCTACAGTCAGGAATTGAAGCCAACGACAAAGTGCACGCGAAGATGATCATGGAGCTCGAAACAGACTCGGGTCAGCTCGCTAGCTCGCCTTTCCAAGACAACGTTCGGCAGTCACCTGCCAAGTCCCCTGTTAAATCACCTCTGCGTTATCAAATTGCTGCTGTTGCATGCGAAAACGGGAGCCCTAGTTTGGCAACCGTGCGGGCTAGACCTCCCCGGCGTAGCTCCACTCCAGGATCGTCGGGCACGCCAGGATCGGCAAGCCGGCAACGATCACCACACACGAAGCCATTGACTCCGCCCAAACAGTCCACCCCCAAGCGAAACCTACCACCCCAAGCAAGACACCTCCCTCCGGCAATGTTACTTTTAGAAGTGCTTCACCAAAGAAGCTCTTCCAGCCCGAGCTCCAGCAATCAGCAGATAGGCGCAAGTCTCTACGTCAAAGCCTGTTCGAGCATAACATAGCAACGGGAGAGTCGACCCCGCTCTTCAAATTACAACCACGCGAGGGCCGTCGCTCTTCTGGTCTAGGGATTGACAAAGAAGGTCTTGGATCCCCTCGCGTGGCGGCATTACTTGACAGGCGCCAGTCGCTAGGAGATAGTACGCCCAAATTTGTTCCGCAAGAGCAGCCCCGATCCGGTGTACGCTTTGAGGATCCTCTGCAACTTCAGGCCGAGGAAGAACGTGATCGCGAAGAAGAGGAACTCCGAGAGGATGGCCATATCGCGGGCTTGCAGTCAGATCGGGACGTAACCCCGAGCTTGAAGGATATGATTTCAAATATGAGCCCGAAAAAGACTAGGATTGGCAGCCGTAAGAGTCTCCATGTTGGGGCTGCTCGCGGGGTTTTGGGCAAGCGCCCGGTCGAGCTAGACTTGGACGAAGACGAAGTGGAGAATTCGCCCAAGCGACTGCGTGGTCACAATGTCAGCCCAGTCAAAGGTGTCAAGTTGCCAACACCGATGTTCAGGGAAGGCAATGTCCGTCGGTCGATGCTTTCGCCCGTCCGTAGAGCTGCTAGCTCATCGCCCCCCAAGGGTAGCAGCACACCTTCCCAGCAACCACGGAGTGCTTTCCAGACCTCGACAACTCCTCTCAAGCATGGCATCGATGCTCTTCATATTGCTTCTGATCCCCAACAACCTGAACAAGAAGAAGAGAATACTCCTGTCGAAGAACCCTCCGAGGAAATTGAGCCTATTCAGTTACAGGACTTCCTGAAAATGACTAATATTCATTTCATGGAACTTACTACGACAAAAAGACGACACACAACTGCCCCTGGCAGTGCCACCAAGAAGTTGACACGGCCCTCCGGTGAGAACATGCCTAAACCTGGCTCTATAACATTCGACGATTGTGTGGCAGCTGGCTTTTGTACAGTGCCAATGCTTGAACTGTATCAGCATGTAAGTTTTGTTGTGCCCGGATACTCTTGTTTTTGCTCACACTGTCTCTAGTCATGTCGGGAGTTGAAATCCTATATTTCTGAAGGTCGGCAGGTGATCCGCTCTATTGAGGCAGAAACATATGCCGAGAATCCAGCTCTCTTCAAGGAGTATGTTACCGCTCCGCCAGATATCCGAGTCATCATGGACAATCAATTCCGAAATGTCAAGACCCATGCCCGTCTGCTGAGTAAGGCTACATGGTACGAATGGCGGATGAAGTTGCTTGAGGGGTTGAAGGAAGGGCTCATCCGCCACGTGGAGGAGATGAAAGCAGACGATGATCTGCTGTCTGAACGAGAAGAGTTGCTTAACAGGAACGTGCCGCTACTCGTGGAGAAACATGCCTCTCTCGAGCAAGAGGCAAGAAACTTACAACAGTTGGTGGAGGAGATGGAGAATTGTGATCAAGATGAACTGCGTAGTACACGCAGCAAGCTGTCTGAGGTGGATTCCGAAATTGCGGCCAAGAGACGGGAACTTGAGAAGTTGCAGAAGGAAGTCCAGGAGAAGACGACTTTCATCGAGACTGGAGCCGAAATGCGGGATGAATTCCTCGCTCAAATCCAGGAGGCTGAGCGCGTGAAGGAGGAGTGCCGTGGCTGGAGCGCCCGGGAGATTAACGACTTAAAGGGTGAGCTTCCTCCCTCACCTTCCTTATGGAGCCCTTTTCTATGGATGCATACTGACTTGGAAAAAATAGGATCCGTCCAACGAATTCAGCAACAAACCGGCTGGTCGATCGTTTCGGCCTCATCTCCTTCAGATGCTGATGGGCCTTTATTGAAGATGGCTTACCGGGACCAGCTCCAACTAGAGTTCTATCCTGGAGCTTTCGCCTCCAAAAAGAGAGGCCAGGACGAGGGAAAGAATTACCCAATGGAACTGACTGCCCAAAAGAATGCCACCATTTCTCCCATTGCATCTTTGGTCCTCCACTCGCTACAGCATCACCTGGCTACCATCCAGCAATCTACTGTCGCACCCAAACAGCTCTTGCGGTTCATCTCTAGCGCTTGGGACCGCACGGTTGGGCTGGAAAATGAAGCACGCATGCTAGAATTCTGTGGTGTCACCCGCCTCACCCTGTCTAAGCCTGATCATGGCTCTCTTTCTCTACGCACCCGCTGCACGCTCCTCGGCAACGCCGCAGTCTCCACACCTGGCCGTAAAGGTGCGGCCTCAAAGAACACTAGTACGAAGAGAATCGATGTTGACTTCACTGTCCGTACCCGCATTGATAAAACCAATGCAGAGAACACTATCGGTCTCTTGGACTTTGATATTGATGTTCTGGCGACGAAGGTCTATGGTTTCGGAACAGGCAACAAGTCTGGCCTTCCAGACAAGGAGTTGCAAAGTATTCTCGCCAAAGGCCTTGATCGGGATAAGGACGGTGATGTCCAGCTAGGAAATGGCGTGTGGTGCAAGGCAGTGCGCACGTTCACGGGATCTGTGTTTTAGTTTTCGAATATTTGCTTTTTATGATCTGGGTTATTGGACGGGTTGGGTCTGCATTTGGGATGGAAGGCGCTGGAGGAAACTTTTCTATGCCCTTCTTGGGTTCAATGGGGCGGGACAATGGGATATCTTGACTTCGGGATCTGGCTAGGCGTTTTTTTTTTATACCAGGTCTTTATTATTCATATCCACTGATTGATGATTCGCTTTCTATCCTTAATTTCTTTTCAAGTTAGAATCTTAGATTATTTCACTAT